GAATTATGGAGTTCAAGAAACATGGCTTTAGCCTGGTAATGCTATAAATAGCAAAAGTGATAACAGTAAAGGGGATTTTGCATTTTTCTTAAATTGATGCAGCTTTGGGGAGAATAGAAGTTTTAATGCAAAATCACATCTCCAGGAAAACCCATTTGAATTGCACATAGGTTTTTTTTTTTTTTTTTTTTTTTTGTAAGGAGATCAGGCCTATGCTAACATCTGCCAATCCTCCTCTTTTTTTGCTGAGGAATACTGGCCCTGGGCTAACATCTGTGCCCATCTTCCTCCACTTTATATGGGACACCGCCACAGAATGGCTTGCCAAGCAGTGCGTGCCCGGGATCCGAACTGGCGAACCCCGGGCCGCTGCAGCAGAGCGCGCACACTTAACCACTTGCGCCACAGGGCTGGCCACAGCACACAGGCTATTTTTTAACGTCTCTCTAATTTTTATTTTGATGTATAAAAGACCAGGCATTGATATCTTTCCAAAAGTTAGATGAGGAAATAAATGCTTTAAAGGCAGTTTTTTAACTCAGTGGTTCATTATTGTATGATGTTATTAACTCAATGCATCAATAAATTTAAAAAGTTATTTAATCCTTAAGTTGAGTTTTAAACATGTGATACTACAATTTAATGTAAAGGTGGACAAAATTTGGTTACAGGTGTTTTTGGAAGCACTTTAGTACTTTAAAACACGTTAGAATCTTTGATTCTCGGGAGTTGGTAGGTCATTTAATCCAACCACCCATTTAATGCTTGAACCTTCTTGCTAAATCAAATAATAATAATAAGAGAACGGGGATAAAAAAAGAAATGGGTGTGGCTTAGAGACAGCTTTAAGCAGGATTTAAAAATTCAGCTTGAAAGCTTTTAAAGTGTAATTATACAGGGAGGTGGCACTGTTTTTATTTGCTGTTTACCTTTGATCTAGTACCTAGTTTTGGTAGAGTGGGACACGCTTTTGTGAAAATGTTTATGGTTTCTTCGTTTGATGTCAAGATACTTGTTTGAAGTTGCCTTGTAATTCATAGGTTTTTCTTTTTGTAACTAATATTAATATTTGGCTTTTGCTGCTAGATTAATAGCAAATTAGCCTGGATTTGGGTGGCTACTTTTGAATGTATAAGTGACATACTGGATTTTAGGAATAGCTTTATTTTTGGGCCAAATTAGATATGTTAAGTCTAAATAAAAAATAAAAAAATAAAAAATCTAAATAACACCAACTCATAAGAATAAGAAGGTAAAAATAAGCCTTTATCTCATTTAGTGTTAATGTTTTTGTTAAATTGTACTTTGTGAAACTTGCGTGTGTGTGTGTGTGTGTGTGTGTGTGTGTATACACATTTAATTTTCTATAAATTAGGCAGTCCTGGTGGTGTAGCAGTTAAGTTCACGCGTTTGGCTTCGGCAGCCCGAGGTTCTCTGGTTCAGATCCTGGGGGCGGACCTACTCACTGCTCCTCAAGCCATTCTGAGGCAGTGTCCCAGATAGAAGAGCTACAACTCTGCAACTATGATACACCACTATGTACTGGGGCTTTGGGGATAAAAAAGAAAAGGAGGCAGATTGGCAACAGATGTTAGCCCAGGGCCAATCTTCCTCAAAAAAAAAAATTCTAATTTTCTATAAATTGATTGGTTCTTATTATACATCTTGTATTTTTTTATTCAACAATATATTGTGCCATCTTTTTAATGTCTATAAATATAGCTTTATATCATAATTTTTAATGTTTACAGGGTAGTGTTATATGTATGTACCATAATTTACTTATCCAGTTGGTAGGTTATTTCCAATTTTTGGCTGCTATAAAAATGCTGTAATGAACATACATATTGCATGTATATATATTTTAACATTTTTGTAATTAGTTCCTTAGGCTAATTTTTGGAAATAACATTGCGAACTCAAAGGATATTGACATCAAAATTTTAACACTTACTGTCAAGTGACCATACAGAAAAGTTGAACCCAATTTCTAATCTCATCAATTGTACATGAAAGTTTATTTTCCCACACCCTCAACAATCCTAGTTTTTGTCCAGTATACAAAATATTTTGCCAATATTGTATGTGAAAATATTTTATTTACATTTTTTGATTATTAGGGAGATTATACATATTTTTATATTATTGGATATTTGTATTTCCTCATTTGTACATTTCCTCTTTATATCTTTGTGCATTTTTATTTTGAAGTGTTTGTAGAAATGTACTTTTTATTTAGTAAATAAAGGATGTACAAAGACTTGACAACCAAATAAAATGGAGCATGTCACCACCATGGTCAGATGTAAAAGCCAGGTTGGATTACTGATTGTTTGAAAAATCCTTGAGGGGAAAGGCCATGTTTGCCTATTTACTTGTTTTTAAACTGAGATATAATTGACATATATCATTGTATTAGTTTTAGGTTTACAACATAATGGTTTATTTTATTTTTTAAAATTTTCGTGTTCATACTGTCCAGTACAGTCTCTAACCCTTGGTCACTGCTTGCTGAATGAATGAATGAGCAAACAGGAATGGAACAATCCATGGTGATTGGGTGTTCTGAGGATTCATTTTACTAAACAGATTGTGATTTTCCAGAACAGGTGGTGATTTGCTCTGGCATTTCCTTTTCTATCTTACTTTTGTGCTGCCCTCAGGACCAAAGTGACTACTTTTATTTTGGAAATGTATTCTTCAGCTTAAATTTTTCTAGTTCTTAAAGAAGTAGTTTACTTCAAGTTGTGTGTTAATTCTTGGGAGTTAATTCTTAACTCTTTGCCCATTGTAAAATGTTGCTTGTTTATTCCTAAATTCTCTGTAGGAGGAAGTATGCATTAAAGTTTTTTTTTTTTTCTTTTTTGTAATAATGAACTCTGATTTTAGAAGCTTATACTTTTTTTAATTGTTAAAAAATTCACCGATAGTGTAAATCAGTTGATAATAAGATTCAGAGTTGCTTTTAACATATGTAGCAAGACTGCATTGATATGACAAATGAAATTTATTGACTTCATATTGATGTATATTAAAATATTATTTGCCCTGAATGTCTGCAATCTAACTTGTTCCAAATTTAAAATATTTCCAGAGTTAGAGGTCTTAACTCCTAAAGAGTCCAGTGATTTAAAAAATGAGATATGCGTCAGCCACAATATTTTCTGGATGCATTTTATTTTATCCCCATCATTTAAATGCAAATGAAGGAATGAGATGTATTGTGTATATTGCATAATTCTAGTTCATGCTTTTAAAAGAATAGTTGCTAGAAAGACAGGGTGTGATTATTCAAAAAAATCTATAAGTACTTTAAAACTCTTTCCGATTCTTTCAGAGTTGAGGCTTTTGGATATACAACATTTTGGTATAGATTTATTTTGTGGACAACTTTGAAATTATAATTTATGATTCAAGGTAGGATAAGATGTGAGAATAGTTTATATTAGAACCAGTATTCTTGCTGGCTTTGAGTAGTATGCAGAGTGTGTCCACATAGGGTTGTGTAGTGTCACAGATAAAATTGCTCTGCTGGATCAGAAACATCAGAAAGCCATGAGGAGGAAAAGGATGTAATACCAAAATGAAATGACAGCCCTGCCTTCCCCTGGCCAGACTCTCCTGAACGTCTCGCATCCATGGAAGTAGGCATTACAGAGTTGCTGGAAACTGGTGAAAATGGATTGGGGAAGGCCTGAGGCACCATTCCCTGCAAAGAGAAGGAGGTCTGGTGAAGAAACCTAATGGATATACTAGCCATAGATACTTAAAGCTGTCCAAATGCCCAGGACTTGATTATCTATCAATCTTGACTAGAAAATAGAATAAATTACCTGGGTCACTTAAGCAAAAGCATATTATAGGAGCTGTGGAAGGGCTGAGTTAGATATTTATTTCATATCTCAACTTAATTTCAGATGCTGATACATAATATATTATAGCCATTTGAGCTGTAAATGCAATGTTGGGAGTAGTGGTTCCTACAAATGATATTGATCAAGATCCATCTTTTTTTTCAGAATGAATTTTATTTAAACCTAGTTAGCTAACTAACTGGGTTAGTTAACTAACCTAGATGTTTACTGGCTATGTTTAAAAAATGCAGATTGAATCAAACCAATCCCCAGAGTCTAGGAAAGTTTCTGACCTAAATTAGGAACCCAAGCTCCATTATTATTTTCAGTTGAACACTACTCATAGCCATCCTCACATTTTGGAAAGAATACAGCCTTTGCAACAAAGTTTCTTTGTTTGCATGGAACTAAAAATGTGCTGTATTTAGACCAAACAATAAAAATAAACTACCAAACTACCTTCTAATGCATGGGGGTTCTGGAGAGAGGAAACCATAGATATTTAGAGGCATAAAGTGACTCATTGTGCTAGTTAAAACTTTTTACAAGGCTAGCTCTGTGTGTTTGAGTTGCATCTGTTACCTCTTCAGCCAGAACTAAAGTGTGTGCAAGCAAAAGAATTTTGGGTTGAATTGTGGCTCATACAGATTGCATTGTATATAGCCTAAGCATCTAAATGGGTTCCACACCATAGGTAGAACAAAAACTGCATCCTTTCACATTTATTCTACCTACGAGGTATTCTTGTTGGACACATCCAAGATATTTTCTATGAAGCTGATTCATTTTAACTTGCAGACATAAATTAAATATATTTTTTAAATGTAACTTGTAAGCCTTTATTCCCTTAAAAAAGTGTTCTCCCTTTTGTTTTTACTTATTCGTACTTTTAAATACCTACTTTATTGCTGACAATTTTTTTTAAAAGCTATAATGGATGGAGATGTTGTATTCTTATATGTGGGACAATGAAATTGTTTCTTTTGATATTATCATCTTGGAAAAAGTTGTTAGAGGAGATGGGGACAACTGCTTGAGTTAAAAATAGTGTAATTTGTAGCCAGAATATATACTTTTTAAATAAAGCATAAAAATACAATTTGCTCATCCTTTTCATTGCATTTCATATTCTGTCTAAATTTTCAGGTCATTTTCATGAATTCAAAGGCAATTTACCAGTGATTTCTGGGTGCTGGGGCTGATTTTCTGTGCATATTTGTAAGTATTGGTTTATTTGTTACTCTTCTCGTGTAATGAAACAATTATAGTTTGTAAACACTTTCTTAACTCCTTTTGTGTGTGACTTTTTATTAGTTTTTTTAAAGTGTTTTTTAAGTGTTAGTTTTTTATAAGTATTTTCTTAAGAGGAGTATAGAAAAAATATCAGCTGGTGAAAAAAGCGTCAGTTTGTTGTGATTTCTAGTGAAATAACACAATGGCAGGGCCCATTACAATAAGCTGAAAGAATAAATATTTTACTTTTTGAAGATGGGGCTCAATGTAGGATTACCTTAAAGTGGCTAGTCTATATACACATGAATAATTTACCCTGAGAACTTCTTCCAGTCTTCTGGTTGTCTTTACTTGAAAAGTGCTGTGTGCCTGTGCTCACAGAAAAGATGTGAGATAATACAGGATTCAAAGAGCTGTCAGTACATGAGGAGATGATATACTAATCTAACGAACCAAAATATATACTAGACTAATGAACCAAAGACTCATTTAGTGAATGTAGAAGATATATTAAAATGGAAGTGTTCCTGCCTCCTTCACCATCCCTAAAACGCTGTTATGTTTTACATGGTGTTTTGGAGAATAAAGATGCTTTTTCTCAGGAAAGAAGGTAAATTTCAAGAAAAAAATTAAATGAACTTTAATGATCAAAGTACTTTAAATTGGTATATATTTATTAATATAGAGGTAGTTCAGAGTATGTGAAAGGTATTAAAAATGTCTGTACGTATATAAGACTATTTAAATAACTGGAGTTTAAAATATATGATATGTTTACATTGTTGTAAACCGTTGACATCTAAAGGGGTCTTTTACATTTGATAACAATGAGGACATAGGAAACTTTTCCTCTGTTAGTGTACTCCTATAAAGGAGTTTAAGAAAATATACTTACAGGAAAGTATTTGAAAAAAGTAATGATATAAATTAGAGTTTAAGTGGTTCAATGTTTAAGCAGAAAGCAGTGAAAACTTATTTAAAACCAGCTTTACCTTTCTTTTAGTAGTAGCACTGATTGGAGCAGGCATTTTGAACCAACTTAAAAAAAAAATAGATGTTGAGTGTTTAATATAGTTTAATACATTTTGTATCTTTTTAATGTTTTAAGAATGAATAAGTTATTTTTATGAAACTATCAACTCACATTTTATTATTTGAAGACTTAATTCTTATGTGAAACACAAAATATTAAACTACATGGTTCCTTTGGATTAAATATAAGCTTTTAATTTGTGCAAGGCATCATAGTGAGGATTAGAAGGTGAAGAAGGCGAAGAAAGAAATGTAAAGTGTCTTTGAAGGATTCTTAAGAAAGAGGATGATTTCAAGGAGCTGAACTTATCCTATTAGAAATCTGAGTGAAGGGAAATAATTTTGAGCTGTCCAAAACTTATCTTTGATGGTTTATCCTTTCTTTTACTTCCTTTCTCTCTTCTCTCATATCATTCAATCATTCCCTTTAGTAAGTTTTTAGGATGGTTAAATTTTTAAAATGACAAATACAAGATAATTACCAGCGTTTCAACCAAGATGGCCTTCATTAAAATGTAGTTTACATTTCTCGTCACCCACAGGCTCTGTTCCCTGAATTCTTCACTTCTTTCCCCTCCTCCCCCCACCCAACCGGACATACATAAACTAGCTTTGAACAGAGGTGATCCAATTAGCTGAAATTTTTCGTGTGCCCTAACAAAGAAAGAGGCTAAAAATAGAAGGGGCACTGTGGATATTGTTTTTGTATGGTTATTTCTGGAGTTCAACTTAAAAAAAATACTCAAAAATCTTCTAGTCAGATTTTGTCTGCTTGCTTGGGTAGAAGTCATGCTAATCATACAGGCCTAAAGTAATTGTTTTCCAGTCTTGAGAATTTCCATATGCTAGTTTAGGGCATGGACCTTGTTTTTCCTTTGGTCAGTCGTCTCAAACTTTGTTAGGGCCATCTCCTGACTGGAACTTTCTTATTAAAGAAATCTAGGAGGATACTGTGACTAAGATAAATCAGATAAAATGGCATCCAGAATGCTTGAGTTCTCATTTCTTTCAATTATTGCGGAAACTGTGCACCACTTACACTGAATGATGAGACAGCTAAAACAATAGAAATATTTATCTAGTCTGGCCTAAGGACAAGCAAATGGGATCAGTGACAATGGCTCCTTTTGGGAACTTTAATTTCCAAGTCCTGGAACTGCTTATTTGCTAAATGATCTAAGGCAGAAAGTTATACCTCATGGCCATGGGAAGGTTTCTTAGTAAGGTGTGCAGAAGCCAGTCTGTGAGATAAGGAAGGTGGGATATTGTTTTGCACATCCATAATGAATGGGCCACACCAAGGGTGTGTGAGAACCGATTGGAATCTTACCTACTCACTACCTAGGTCAGAAGAGGAAAACACTGTGAAGGAAAATGGTTATCGTTTCAGAAGCTGAAAACATTTTATTCTAGTTTTTTTTTTTCTCTTTAAAAAATAAAACTACCCTTTTCTTTTCCCAAAGTAGGCATTGTATAAGAAGACTTTGTTTTGCATGTTAATATCCCACATTTAGTTTTTTATCTCTAATTAATAATTACGTAATTCTGACCATTCAGTTTTACCAGGGCAACAAATGATTGATTAAAACAAAACAAAACAGAAATAAATTGTTAGATATCCTGCTTTTTCAGAATACCCAAGCCTTTTTAGTAATTTGATAATGAATTCCTTTTTATAAAATTCTGTCTCTGTTCATGGTCTCTACTAGCAAACTTTTACCTGAAAAGGTAAAAAAGTATTTTATTGTCTGCTACAAAAAGTGATTATTGCTTAGCCCCATGCTTGAGGCAATGATAATAACAGTATCTTAATTTGTATCAACTTGCTTTTGCAGACATTAAATTGGCTAAATTTTGTAAAAACTCTGTGAGATCAGTAGGAATTATCCTCATTTTTGCATTGTAGCAGGACTCAAACTTAAGGATCCGTGGTATAAATTCAGTGCTCTTTCTATAATACTAAGCTGTCCTCTCTCAGAGAGAATTTTAGCTCTTTCTTCTGTTGTTTTTGATCACTATCTCAGTCTCCATTTGGTTGCTGTACAAATATTTTCAAAAAGTTGAGGAAGGAAATTGTAGAGAGCCTTCTATCACTTGGTTTCCCCATGTTCCTAGATCATTTGCTCCTCTCTGACGTTTTCCTATCCCCCTATTCCGAAACTGCCACATGTCATGCTTCAGCTGAAATTTGAATTGCATAGATTTTAGGAAACAAACAAAAAGAATCACAAATTCATCTCTTTGTGGTATTTTAAAATGGAAAGAAATCTGTTTCGAACGGAGTATAGCCCATACCAAAGCTCCCTCAGCAAGAACAGCTGTGATTTTAAGGACAAGTAGATCTAAGTGCATTATCTTTAAAAAATAATATTCCAGACTAATCTTGACATAGAGCAGGTAAATAAAAAAGATGAGCTGTGAAAATCCACAAATAGGGCTTGAATGCCATTTTCCATGACAACGGGAGCTGCCCCATGAAAGCATTAATGCTGGGAATGTAAGGAATTTAAAATTGTGCCTTCTCAGTTTTACAGTTGTGTGCTCATGTTAATTAGAGATATACTGACATTTGAAGTATCTACATTAATACACACAGCTACTATACATTTGTGAACTGTGGCCAGAAATCTACTTTAATTGAAAGCACTTTGCTAATCTGAATGTGTATATCCATTACATTTTAAGCTTTTAAGTTTTATATACTAGTGCCCTTAGATACTTGTTCTGTCTGCTCTCTCCACTTTCTGTTTCTAATTTATACCTGAAAGCACAGCCTGGCCTATTTTTAATCTCCTACTGGTGTTTTGGAGCAATATTGATGGAATTTTGAGAAAAAAATGTTTTTAATAGTTTCCTTTATTTGCTGTAGTTTGAATCTCTTTTCCCTCTCTGACTTTCTAAATTGTTGGTTTTTCTTGCAAACCTTTAAGATGGCCTGCCACTGAAATAAGGTAGGATTTAGGTTTATGGAATTTGCTTCACTGGCTATATGTAAGCACTAAAAAGCTACTCTTCACAGTCACACTATGGTTTTAGCCAGAAAAGCCCAGTATTAGAGACCTTGATGGAATGAACATTGAAGAGGCGTTCTGGTTTTTCTAGTACAGCTGTTTCAGCCTTCCCTCTTGATGTCAAGGCATGTATCTTAATTTTTGATTTGAAAATATGTTCCTAAAAGCTCGAGGACTTCTTGAGGTCATGTTTAGTCCTAGAGTTTTTGCTTTGTCTGTCTCACACTTAAAGGGAGACCTTACATCTATTTTTTGCAAGCTTGTATTTCTTAAGAATCTGCATGTCAGGATTTTTAACCTAATTGTTTTGTGCTTGTTGTCTAATGAAACTCCCACACTTACTTTTTGGACCAATCCCTGAATATTACACAAGACCAGTTAGAAAGAAGCTTCCTTTTTGTAGCACCAGAACAAACTGCTCTAAAAAGTTTGGAATACTCTGGACTTGTTTCATTAAACCACTTTACTGGCAGCGTTAAATCACTCAGACCTGGGACCACTAAAAGTTAGTACTGTTATTATTATTATGGCCTATTTTACCCTTTATTACTTTTTTTCACTGTATTAAGTTCCTCTGTTCTTTATTCTTTCATGTTGCTTACTACATATTGTGCCATCGCAGCACATTTGGTAATTTCAAGTTAATTGCTCAATTATCAGTGATAGTCATGAAGCACTTGAAACATGTGCAATGGAAGATTTAAAAAATTTCAAAATAAGTTGGTGTGTCATAATCTTAAATCTGAAACATGCCAATATCTGCAGGCATAAAAATACACCGCCTGAGCTAGGCATTTCAGGGAAGGCAAAAACCTACTCTTAAAATCAGGGCTTTTGTCTGGTGCTGAAGTGTTTCATCTTTCCTAATTTCAAACAACGTGTCTAAATTTGATCTTGGTTTACTTTTCAACTCTAAAAATTTAGTTGTATAAAGGAAAAGGG